TCCCACCGAGTTCCAAATGGTCCCAATGGAGTCAGAACCGGGTCCCAAACAACAAGAGTTCCACAAAGACCTACTTTCTGCGCCTACCGAATTGAAAAACGAAATTTAGGCCCAGAAAGAACCTACAGACTACAGCCGTTCAAAATGAAATAAACAAACCACTGTAGAGAGATATAGCATGGCAAGCAAGATACTCCTTTCATTCACTCGTTAGGTGAGTAAGCAGTTTACACACCTCACACACAATCAAGACTATGGAGGATGGAAGAAGAACCCAAAAAAACCCAACAGGCAGTCAATTCCATGCACACACACATGGGCACCCTGGCGGCACGACACTTACCCGAGTGCTCGGGCTATTGAAATGAAAGAACTCACCCCCCTCTCACATAGTCCTCCTGACCCAATTAGCATCCTCTACACTAGTGTCCTATCATCTAGGGGGGTCAACATCTACAAAAGTACAAAGTCGGTTCCCCCGTCGATGTTGAAGATCAAAGCAGCAACTTGCAGTCCGTAGGAGCAGATATGGCTGCCACCCTCAAGCTCGCCTAACTTGAGGGGAGCCCTAAAGTCACTCCTCGTCTTCCTTGAAGTCCAGATTCAAGTTGTAGGTGCCCTTCACTGTCGCCTCTCTCAAGTTGCATCACGAAGTCCCCCCTTGTGTCTCGCCACCACAAACATGCACTCAAGCAACCTGAGCGGGTCTAGTGTCGACCCTACACGACCCTGCCAGGTGGGGCCAGCTTCCCTTTACCACGCTGCCCCACTTAACCCTAACTTCCGCCCTAACCCTAAGTGGTTAGCCCTTACCAGTAGGGTTAGGGTTATGGCAGCAAAGTCAACTCTCGCCACCAAGTAGAATCCGCTCTGATACCAATGTTACAATCCTGGCCAATTTCGAAGTATACATTCAGCAGAAAGTACAATTCCGTCCAATTGCAAAAAGAAATGAATGAACTTGAGAGGAGAGAGAGGGAAAGAAGAAGAAGAAGTATGAAAGAAGAAGGAGATGATGTACTCCAGCATAGACCAATGACAAGGCTCTTCTTCTTCGCCAACCAATCTCCTCCTCCTTGTCTTCTCCCCTCTTATTCAAACAAGAAATAACAATAATAATGTTGAATGGCTAAACCAGAATCAATGTCTGAATCCCACTTCTACTACAGGCACAACATGATGTCCACCATAGCCATGGCCACCCTTCTCCTTCCTCGTCACTGCAGGCCGAGGCTATGGCGTACTACGGAGGCTTCAGCCTCCTGTCCAAAGGACAACCCAAAGCAGCGTCGCTGTTGCTTCAAGCAGCTATGTCGCTGCTCACTGAACCGCCATGCCTGACTCTACCCCGAGCTTCCTTGGTGCGSCACTACCCCAACGGAGGCCTTCCAGATGCAGCGCCTAACAAGGTGATGAAGATGGTGTCCACCATAGCCAGGTAGGTACCTCGCCACTCTCCCCCTTGGTCCCCTTCTCCCTCCTCCTCCTACCAGCCAAGCTCCACCATAGCCGAGGTGGAAGCTCCCGGCTTCTTCCTCCCAGCAGCGCTGTAGCAGCCAGCGCTCTTCCAACCAACCCTCCAACAGCGTGACGCCCAACTCGCACATTGAAGAATGAGGCCGAGCTCTTCCCTCAGCCTCTTGATATAGTGGCCTGCTTGCCTCCTGGGCGGTGACTTCCAGGCCACTCGGCCTCCCAAGCAACCGGTACCTCCTCCCTTTCGGAGGGAAACATCATTGCAGACTCTGCTATTGCCCGCACAGGCTCTAGACTCAGACTGGATGGACTGGTACCGGCCTAGACCTAGCCTACCGCTACTGGGCCTCTAAAAATGCCAACTTTGTCTTCTTCTGCTCGGCCTCGAGTACCCGGCACATCTACTGCTACTGGGTGCGGTACCGGCCTACCTGCTACTTGAGTGTTTTCAGCTGCTCTAAGCACCGCGGGCCCCTGGCTCCGCTACTTGAGTGTTTCCCTGCTGCAACCCTCAATGCCACGGCCAGAGGTAAGTACCGGCCCTACGGGCCTACCAAACAAGCAAGTACCCTTGCGGGTCACACACACACTCATGCCGACAAGCACTCAGACAGGCACGCAAGTCAACAGGCATGCACACATACAGACTTAGAAAACTCAGCAGAATGCGGGAATCTCAGCAAGGCATCCATTCCATCGGCAGAACTTTGGGAATCAGCAGTGTTCTCAGTCTGTGTTATGGCGGGTCATTACAGAGTTAAAAAAGCAACCTACTAGGTAGTATCTGGAAGAAAAACTAAGTAAAAATCAAAGAGTAAAAAAAGCAA